TGGGATCAAACTCATTTGGAAACGTTCGGTTTGGCAATAGCAAGACTCAGCTAGATGTAGCCAAGGTGGGAGACAGCATACAAAGCCACAGCTGACCATGTGGACTCAGTTGGTGAGACAAAGCCTGATTATGCACAGATCATGGATAGATTCATCTCGATGACGTTCCATTGGCACAAAGATGTTGACCCGGCCACCACAAAACCCCGAGAAAACACAGTGCTGCAACCAGGCCTTAGTCCAACCAGCCATACACTCCGTCCACCCATGTGTCGTTCTTGATGGTGTGGCGCTTTTGTTGATCCTCCTTCAGCCACTTGTAAATCTCTTGTTGTGTTTCTTTGAAAATGGCACATTGGTAGTTTATTTACCGAACTAAAAGATTGTGATTTTCCACAGCTATGTTAGTTTACCAGAGAGTAATCCATATTATAAATTGCATAATCCCACTGAATGGAGACTTACTAACCAGCCTTATCAACTGTTTACCAGGTAGGATGATCCTCCAAGTAGTCAACCTAAACTCCATCCCAAGTCAATGGCCATTTCGGATCCGACTCATTGGAGGTACCTAACAATATATATATATATATAAGGCATATTTTTCAGCCTAAATTTCAGGCAATATCGCCACAAAATATGGCCTGAAAAATGGTTCTAACGTTGCTCCATCTGTTGGATCCTGAAATTCCCATTGATAAATGAGCCATAAAAGTTATACCAAATGTTTACCCTGGTGTTTTTCCTTGGTTTTGAAATGCGGCTTTCCTGAAATGGTGGGTTATATCCATGATGGAAAAACCCCCCATCCCAAGCACCACTTCTTCCGAGCCACGGAAGGTTCCAAGAAGGCGATGAGGAAGAAGGTGAGAGCCGCATTGACCAAACGCAAAGACAGCACCTGGCGGATTGGAACATGATACCGGACGAGATGTAAAATATGGCTTGGGATATGGCAAAAGTTATATATATATATATACATATGGTATATGATATATGATATATGAAATATGGTATATGACTTGAAATATTTAAATATGAAGAATGATATATGATATATGATATATATATATAATATATGATATGATATGATATGATATGTTATGTTATGTATTAAATATATAGATATGTATGGAATACATGTTCTGATTTGGAAATAGTGAAATAAATTGTTCTGATAGGGAAAGCATGTCATCGGTGAGATATCGAACACACACGCCATTTATATGTAGATCATTTTTTCCTGGGAAACCATGGGCTTTCATGTCTATGGTAACTTACAGGAAGGTACTCTCCGGTAATTCAACATAGCTATGGATATTCCGCCATTTAAAGATGAATTACATGTCATATGTATATAAATGTAATCAAACGTGTGTGTATATATATATATATACACTGTATGTACGTACACCAACAAATACATACATATATAATCATATATATATATATAATATATATAGTATTCTAATGTCATACAGAATCAATTACAACCCAATTGTAACATATTATAACTAGGGAAAATGCTCAGAGGCCCGTGATCTCTGGTCGCAGCTGAGTGACCGAATACAGAAGCGTTCGATCACTTCTCCCTGTGACATCCCTGGCGGTGAGTCGATAAGGAAGTGGATCCCAGCCTGGTTGGTGGTTTCTCATATATAAAAATAATATAGGTTGGATCCATATATGGGATAATCCATAATAATGAATATAGATTTGACTGTATTAAATAGGTTGGATAATATTATAATATATTATATATGGGAAAATCCATAATTGACCTACCATCGTGAAAAATATGATATAAAATCAATTGGGATTATTATGGATGAAAACCCATATATGATGGAAAAAATAGATGGGAAGGATGACATCCCATATATGAAATGGAAAATAATCCAGTCATGTTCCAAACCACCAATCAGCACCATGATTTCCCCATGTCCCAATTGATATGCCCAATGAACAATGGCAAGTCATGGCAAGTCGATATTTTTGATCAACCACGGAAGATTTTTTGCAATTTGGCTCTGAGTCATGGCACCCTACCCAAATAGGGGCCCGGATAGTACTCCAAATAGCTGGTTTATGGATGTGAATAAACTCCCAGTCATATGGTACCCTCTGGTAAATTTTAACAGCTTGCTATTGAAAATGGCCCATTTAGTTCGTTGATTTACCATGACCTCCCACACGGAACTACTTCCCGCTATGCTTCGACGGCATGTAGATTTTCCCTTCACCAATCCATTGGTCCATTGGTCCACTGAAGTCAAGAAATGAGCTTTGCAATACCCATATGATCCATGGTGCTGGTATATCTAGCTACAAAACTATAGGTGATTTTGGAGGGCAAATGTTGGTCAAAAACCAGCACCATGCGAGGATTCCAACTAGGAGCCCCCAACTGCGTTGCATCCGTTTTCTGGAAGCCAGTTAGGATGGAAACCACAAACAATTGAAACCACCAAAAGCAAACTAGTCTTCTGCGTTGCCTTGATCAATTTAACAACTTCAATCAATTTCACCAATTTGCTGCCTCTGTATGGTCTCTGAAAATAGAATCCCATGTTTGATGGTTTCAAACCATTTTTTCCCGATAAAACTAGTGGTATTTTGGAGATATCTCTTCCATTTTCAGACACTCCCCTATGATTAAGATGTCAAAAACCATCAAAAACCCTATAGGTAGCTTAGAGTAGCTGGTATAGCTGGATGTTTCTTCCCCCATTTATGTGGTAAATTCATAGGTTTTGACCCATCTCCTAGCTGAAATATGCCTAGGATGTCACATGTCCCACATCTCTCAGGTGGCCAAAGCCATGGAAAAATAGATGTAACGTGTACCTAATTTCATCTAATTTCTACAGCATTCCTACTTATATTCATATATCACCACACTTACAGATCTCTACATAGTAATTATGTAGAATCAAAAGACTATGATGAATATCACATATATATATATATATGCTGTAACCTATTTTCATCATTCCTAAGTACATTCACAATTACAACTACATCATATGAGAGTACAGTACATCATTCCTGGTAGCTTGGATGACTTTTTCGGATCCCCGGGAGCCTCAAAGAGTCATGTTTGGTGAAGAGATGCATCCAGACCAGGTTCATTAACTCAGTGGCTGCCGTTGCTTCTGGTGGGGATTCCCCTAGTGGATGATCGAAAATTTAATCTACTGGATGGAAAAACTTGGGGAAAAACTTGGGGAAACCCCTATATTTGGTAAATTCTCCACGATCTTCCCATGGAATGCCCTTAAATATGGCTAATAATGGTGAATAGTGGATTAGAAGTTGTTGAATAATGGGTTCATACAGGATCTATCAGATAGGAAAAACCCGCCAGTAATCAAACCAGGCTGGTTTTGATCCCTGAATTCAACGGCGGATGAATGGGATCATCATCTATAAATGTCGGATTTCCAATTGCCATGTTTGTTTATGGGAGGGTACACTCTGGCAAATTCACATAGACCCAGGCAGTCATCGGGGTTGGAAGACTAGTGAAACCACTGAAAATGGGTTATTTTCAGGGTCCAACTGTTTATTTACCAAAGGGTAAACAAACAGTTTGCTATTGAAAATGGCAATTTCTAGTTGATTTACCCATGAATAGCATAGTGATTTACCATAGTAACTAGCCATTAAACAGACCAGTAACAAAATCATCATTCATTCCAGTAAATCCAACTTGAAAAAAGGAAAAGATGGGCTACGTCCAAGGCCTTGCAAGGCAACAAAAAGTCTCGAACTACTAATGGTTTGACGCGAACATGCAATAAAACATGGATGTTGATTGAGCCAAAATGATGTAATGATGTTGTAGATGATGTTGCACCAAATATTTGGAAATCATTCAGCCACAATTATCTTCAGTTTTAGATAATTTTCCGAATGATGTTTCAACAGTTTCTTCGATTGGGGTTTTCCTGCCAACTTGGATGTTCTGGAGCATTGCCGGAAAAAAACTGGCCATTGACATAGATGAGGTAAATCACCATTATATCCACATTATATCTCTTCATATTCTTGTTGGTTAAAACATTGTATTTCCATGATATCCCATGAAAATGGTTATCATCACCATGGTTATAAGTTATATCCATAAATCACCATGGTCATAGGTTTTTGATAGTTAAAACATGTTAAAAGCCCTAGTAGGCTGTATATCCCATTAGATCACCAGATCTCCAGTATCTCTCCATTACCCTGGCAGTCATCGGGGTTGGAAGATTCGTTTCCATGAAAAAACTAGGCGATTTTCAGGGTCCAGTTCTATGATTAGGTCACCATTAGATCCATTATATCTGGGTAAATTGTAGTAATTCACTAACCTGAATATTATTGAGCATTATTGACCCAGTTATTGACCCATTGTTAAACCATTGTCAACTAGAATATCTACCCATTAGATCACCATTAGATATATGGTTGAATTACAATATATTGGGTAGTATAATCCCCTGTAATTCCCTATATATATATATATATATCCATATTATCATATAATAGGTATAATAGGTATATAAACATCTCCTGATGATAATGGTCAATCATATCCCCATGATATCCCCATTAGATCACCATGCTATTAATGGGTAGATCACCAGATCCCCATGATGTAAAAGGTATATCAACATCTATTGATGGTATATAAACATCACAATGGTATCTATATATAGTTCCATCCTAGGATAAACTAATAGGTTATATATAGATGATATCCCAGATTACATATATCTATAATAGGATAACATCATTAACCTATTGTAACCTAGGATACCTATATTATGAAATAATATCTATTAGGATATCTATATATGGGATATAGGTATATAAATAGGATATCTATATTAATATTACCATATAATAGGTATAATAAGTACATAAACATCTCCTGATGATAATGGTCAATGGTTAATGATATCCCATTAGATCCCAGATCCCCATGAAATCCCCCACGATCTTTGCCGCGCCACCGCTTCCGTGAGCCCCGCTGCGAAGCCGGCGCCCACGATGACCTGCACCCGGCCCCAGCTGCCTGCAGCGAAAAGGGCCTTTAAGGGCGCCCCAAAGGCTGGGAAAAACCGGGGAAAACCATGGGAAAACCATGGGAAAACAATGTGAAAACCATGGGAAAACCATGGGAAATGATAGGAAATGATGGGAAAACAATGGGAAATGTCAGAACAACTTGGGGAATCTCATGGGAAAATTCAAGGACATGATGGGAACATTTGGAGGAAACTCGTGGATAATGTCAAGGAATTCGGGGGAAAACTTAGGGAAACTTATGGAACAGGGAAACCATGGGAAAACTTGAAGGTTTTTTTTCAACAAGTCGGGAAAATAATAGGCAACTTGGGGGAAATGATAGGAAAACTGTGGTGCATGATATGAAATTCTGGAAAATTAAGGGATCTGTGAGGGAAATGATGAACATGGAACACACCGGCAATTTACGTAAGATTTGGTTCCACAAGATCCTATATCAACATGTTTTGTATAAACTGTTGGGGTTCAAAACACATCATTGTTCAAACAACAACCGTGGTGGAATAGCTGCAAGAGTCAATATGTGCATGATAAACATGTGAACTTCAACCAATAAGAAACTGGGATTGACTTCTAGACAATGCAGGGATTCCACATTTATAGATTGATTTCTCATTAAAACCTCCATTTATATCTATTTGTAGGTGATTTTCCTTGCTATGTTTGATTACCAAACGGTATCGCCCACAAACTTAGCGATAAGGGGGTCTCACCTTGTATCTCGCCAAGCTGCAGTTGGAGTAACGCTTCATCAATATGTTGCTACCCAGTTATGGAATATATATATATATATATTATACGGATTTTGTATGATTTTGTTTGGGCTGTTAACTACTTATACGTAGTAAATATGAATTCAATGGTCGTTTCAAATACCTAAACTGGAGCTACTGTGTCATCTGTATCAGATGAAACCATATGTTGGGGGGCATATATATATATATGTATATATATATATCTTATATACCTACTTGCATATAGAAAGTAGCTCCGATTTAGGTACCCCAACTGGCCACTTCTGATTGATTTGGATGAACGCCGAAGTTTAGTTTCTACCGTCTACGACAAGGAACTCATGCGAAGCACGTAGGTCACGTAGTAAAGCAGCCTCGGAGCGGTTCTCAACTGGTTACCGGATGTTACTGGTTTGGTTATCTCCCAAAAAATTGTAAAAGTCAACTGGGTGGTGGTATACCTACTCCTCTGAAAAATGATGGAGTTCGTCAGTTGGGATTATTCCCAACTGAATGGAAAGTCATAATCCATTCATGTTCCAAACCACCAACCAGAATACTTATTATTAACCATTAACAAACATTAAGAAGCACTATTCATTAATATTAATACCATTGGTATATTGGATTATATCATCTTAAGTTATAAGTCAAACACACCAACCAGCTAAAGTGAACTGGGATGACTTGGGATCATATACCCTCTGCTTATTTTTCACGTAGCAAGCTGGAAGCCATGGCTTACCCATAGAAACAGATGATTTTCAACATTTTCCCAGCAAACAACACCTCCATAGTGAACTGGGATTTTCCATATAATATATGACCATCCGGGATTATCGGCTGGAGAATCCCAGCGGTGCGGGGTGGTCGCTCGCATTCGTTCCCGCGGCGCGCCGCTTTGGCATAATGGGAACCGCAACTGGTGACTTTTTGTCAGGATCATCATGGAGAAACTGATGGAGAAACTGATAGATTTTTTTCAGAATATGATGCTTGGTAAACTGGGAATACCATAACCAACCATCATATTTTGATATGGGAATATCCCCAATATCCAATCATTCACATCAGTAATCTCATATCCCATCAGTAATCCCATCAGTAATCCCATAACCATCATTTTCTCGGAATATTTCCATAATATCCCATAAAAGAAGCCCTACAAGGTGGTGCCCCCCAGTTATAAATAGGTTTATAGACCCCATTAATTACATAACTATAGAGATATCACCTGTAAACCATATTGAAATTGGAGTTATTTGTACCAACTAATGGGCCAGATGAGAAAATGATGGTACTGGGATGTGAACTGGGATTACTGATGGGGATATGGGACAAGTTCTGAGATCATCCCGTAGAGTGCCAATGAAAAATCCACCAACTGCCTGCAGGTTGAGTAATTGGTGGTGCAATTGGGCTTACTATAGTAGATATAACCAGGGTAATTGCCCACAGAAATTGGGTTAACACCCCTAGAACTATGTTTTATATCCAATGATAACTGGAACTGCACCACCAAGTTCCATATCACATGGTAGGTTATATACATCATGTCATATCCCCATCATTACTCCATCATTACTCCATCATGATTGCCAACAACTAATGTTTACCATCGCTTTCCCAAACACTTCCAAGTCTTTTCTGTAAAAAACATTAACATTTTTCCATATATATATATACATACATACATATGTACATATAGTAGATAACATATAAATGAATCATACCTTAAATTACATGTATATATATATATATACATATCATGTCCATATATTTCCCTTAAATAACATTAACTCTATTTCCATCTATGTATATATATATATATATGCAAGTTGACCACAGGCCCGAGTTGGCCCGGCAGTTCGACGTTTTTTTTAATGACCTCATCGGATCCAAATCTCACGAAAACATGGCCAATCCTGCAGAAGTAAACGGCAACACAAAAATAAAACACGCATGTATGATCATGTATAACTAATGTATATAATAATATTTAATATATATATATAATGGTTGTATATAATTATATATATATACATATTTACTTATATACATATTTACTTATATACATATTTACTTATATACATATTTAGTTGGTTAGTATCTATCCTACTTATAATTAACCATAATTAACCCCATTGCAACATCTGAAAGTACGAACATTTCACTGCGCCTCTCAGTGGCTTAGCCCTTGACCTTGGACCCGTTGATGAAACTCTGCAGCCGAGAAAACATGCTGGAAATGCAAACTCCATAGCAGCCGTGCCAAAACCTGGACTTCTGGTGCGAATCTTCGAGCTAGTGGAACAAGTGGAACCGGAATCCCAAAAAAGTCGGGGATATTCCACGTATATATATATAATAGAACACAGTAGACCCAGATGAATTATCAATAACCAATACTAAACTTCTAAACAACTATTTTTGACAACTGGTCATATATACATATATATGGTTGAATTACCAAATATAATTCATTCAGCTCAAAATACCTGAAATAAGACCCTTTGGGGATGATTCCTCGCAATCTAAGCATCAGTGACGTCACAGTAGGGTCAACTATAATTCATCCAGGTAAATTGATGCTAAAATTCCGTGAAATCATAGTGAAATCATAGTGAAATCATAGTGAAATCATAGTGAAATCCTATTCCATGACCTGCTTAATAGGAATAATATAGATAAATCATGATAAATCCTATTAAATCTGAAGAATCCCAAAATATAATTCACGGCATCACTAGCGACAGTACCATGTTAAACAAGCGACAGATCCGCAGCGACATGTTGGGACCGGATATGGCATGAGCCATCTATTTTTGGAGGGAAACAGATGATGAAAACCATTGAAATTTTTGAGATTTTTGGAGGAACCTTGGGCAAACACATACACACAAATGTAAAAAAAACATGGTTTCCCAGACAATACTATACAAAAAGTGTTACTTTAGAGGTGGCCATCTTTCCAAACCCAAACATCAAACTTCCCAGGGGTTTTGCCATCTGAGACTTTTTGTCCACCTCGCTTCCCATGGCGTTTCCCATCCACTTCCGCCACTTCCCTCCGTCACAAGGAACTTCATTGCGAGCCTGGGCTGAAACAGGGTACAAGCTGGTGCCCCAGTGAGCTAAATCGCTAAGTTGGTGGGTTTATAACTCCAATAACTGTTGGGCTGAGAGGGGCCTGGTAGTATTAGGATGTATGAAGTGGACCCTTGGAGAAGCATCTCTGGATGAATAAACAACACACATGCCCTGGATGTCACCCGGGCACGGAACCCAGAGCTGCAGAAAATCCTCTATGTATATGATTAGTTGAGTTTATTCATAAAATGGTGATGTAATGCGATATATGGTAGCTGCCAATCCTAAAATAGGGCTACCCCCCAGTCATCATCCACTTTAGATTGGGGTTTTCCATAAAATAAACCATCCAGCGATCAAGGGGTAGCTTTATTTTAGGAAACCCCCATATGACTAGGATTGACTAGGCATAATGGAGACATGGGATAGCCAACTTGATAGGCATGGTGAAGTTACATGGGATGATATGGGATGAATGTGTTGTGGTCATCCATCCTTCAGAGGAATCTTGAAAGAAATGTCTTATTAAAATCCCGAAGAACATGGAACAAACCATTTTTTCAACGGCTATAAAATTCCAATTTCATTCAATAATAGGTGATTATAAGATATTATAAATACATCCGATGACTTCCCATTCATATCCCATTACCCCCTGGTAATCTAACCATTGAACATCATCACTTTTAAGTTCGGCAAATCAACTATTTCTATGTGCCATTTTCAATAGCAAACTATAGCAAATTACCAAAGGGTAAATCACCATATCATCCCATTATTCACCATTGTTAACCATATACCATTAAATCACCATTTTCCTAGTGGTTAAATCACCATTTTCCTATGGTTTTCCTATGGTTTAACACCATAAAATCTACATCCCACATCCCACGACTTCCTCGCTGCAGCGAGCCACAGGTGTTGCAAGGCTCCTTAGCACCGACGGGACTATGACTGGTTGGTGGTGGTATACCTACCCCTCTGAAAAATATGAGGCAGTTGGGATGATGAAATTCCCAATATATGGAAAGTCAAAAAAGCCATGGGGAAAAAATATTAGTCAGATTGGATCATCATCCCAACTATTGGGGAACAAACATGTTCCAAACCACCAACCAGGTTTATAAAGAAACTATAGGGGCTATAGGGTTTATAAAGCAACATAACTAGGGAGCATCTGGTAGATGGTCATTCCCCATGTAGACTTTGATCTTCTTTTCCCACGAATCTTGGTGAAGAAATACCAGCATTCAGAATTTTCGGAGTCATTGTTTACCATCCATAGGTTATGGCCCATACCCAAGTATCATAGATGGACCTAGCCATATTAATCCCGCTACCAAGCTTTGATACCCAGCAACACGCAATATCTATCTAGCAAATTCAAATACTTCCATATGGAAGTATTTGAATTTGCTAAATGGATATTGCGTGTTGCATCAAGATGGGACAAAAACACATTCAATGCCAGTACCCAAGGTTTACCCGAAGATGATAAGCGGATTAAGTGGCTTTGTCTCAAGATGACCTTGAAATCCAATGCTTTCCATCATGTTAATCTAAAACCTGACCGAGAGATATGGTGAACTTGGTATAACCCATTTAAGTTTGTCTGAAACCTGGCGTATATCATGGAATATCATTGTTTTCCACACTAAAAATTAACAGCACATTCATTTAACCAATGCCCTATTTTTTGTTAGTAAACAGTATGACCGCGTTGTACTGGCGGGCTGAGTGTAGTTCGCAGTTCGAAACCCCATTGCATCCACATGATTATCATGATTATCCCTGTATGATCCGTTCAGCTCACCAAAAAATCCATGCAATACATGGTGCTTCCAGGGTAGTATATATATATATAATTTAATCAGTCATGATATCAATGTAAATCAATATACACACTATTTCCCATGATACACCTAATTAATTGGTGGTTTCACCCCCCCCGAAAAATATAAAAGTCAGATTGGATCATCATCCCAACTATTGGGGAAAAACATGTTCCAAACCACCAACCAGATACCCATAAGGTTGATCCAGATTCAGAAATTTTCACTACTCGGCCAAGCTTCGATTGTTCGGCTTCTCCTCCACCTCTTCACCAGTGTCGCCGTTCCGCTTCCGCAGCCAGATGCGAAGACCATGCGGCAGCGCCTCATGTCATCGCGTCGAGGATGGATTTCGACATGTTTTAGACAAATGGATAACTGCTGTCATATCGGCATATCATTGTTTTTAGACATGTTCGGTATATCGGTAAACCTTTCGAGGGCAATAACGATAGAAGTCTGTGTCAATCCAAATTCAAATAGTTTGACAAAAATGAGTCGACCGGACTCAAGAGACTTGTCTCTCCCTCTCTCTCTCTGTCAATCTTCCAAGGGCTCAGTTTAAGCCACACATGTGAACCAGTAATCAGTCATTGTTCATATCCGACTGCAACCCGTGTTTTGAGCTATGAAAACAATGCAGTCCAAAGCATATATAAACAGTAGAATAATATGTAGAATACTTGACAAGAAGTTTGCCAAAGTTGCATAGCCAATCTTAGATACCCTGCAAAAAAAGCAATTCTTAGCTGGTGAACGTAGATGATCCCATTGATACGAAAAGACTAGTTAGGATTAGTTTCTACCCATCTAAGATTGACCTAGGTTTCAAATGTCTCCAAATCCATTCCAAGTGGCGTCCTAAAATATGGCTACCCCAAACCATAGCTTTTCCCATTGATGATCAGCAAGTTGGATGATTTGGGGGGCACATTTTCTTACGCTAAACGTAGGGAATGGATGGGTTGCTGGGGTAATGGGATGATGAAATTACTAGTGATGACTGGGATCATTTCCGAAAATTCCCTGCTAAGTAAGCACCAGTAAGTTTTAGGAACATACTGGGTGGTTTCTACTAACATACTAGGTGGATAAACCATAGCTTTTCCCATATCAATGACCATTTTAGGAAACCCGCCAAGTAGTCTTGTCAACTTGTGCTCCTGGCCTCCCAGAGGATCTGCAGGATCCCGGAAGTATCCTGGAGAGTTTAAGACATGGACGACGGTGAGGAAGTCCCAGATTTCATGAATTTCTTCACCCATAATATGATTAATATCACGATAAACCCACCATTAATACCATATATATATATCATTCAATATCATTAATTATGATTAAAACATGTTCAGAATGGGTTCCTAATGGTTAATCATGGTCAATAATGGTTAATATCATTCTGAACCCAATATGAACCCAGTACTAATGATTAGCTATGATTAATCCATGGTTAAGAGTTAAGAGTGGCTTCATGAATGGTTAGTAGTGGTTATGGCTATTCCGAATATATTCATCTACTCGTCATGAAAAATCCACTATGCTTAAGAATGGCGTCATAATGAGTTACCCTCTGGTAATTTGTAACATAGCTATTGAAAATGGCTATAGAAATAGTTGATTGTCCCATTAAAGGTGATTTTCCATAGTTATGTTAGTTTACCAGAGGGTAATAATGGGTGATCCCACATGAAATGACCCTTCCTGATATTTACAATACACTGCAGTAAATCAAGGTTTATATTAAAAGCCCCCTGGTCATCCACCATTGATAAATCATGTCATATCATTTGCTGAGGAACCATGGCTACTTCAATGATTTCGTGGTTCATGTTCACCCCAGGGGTCATCTCAGTCTGCCCCATGAGCGACGGCACTGCGTGCAACGCGTCCTTTTTTTTGCTCAAAGCATAGGTTTGTACTGGGCTGAGCCCCAAAAGGGTCGAATTCCAAAATCACTCTGAAGAGGCACTAACGCCGTGAGCTGTACATGTCTCCATGACAGAGTGACCAAGATTCCGGCCATAAGCAGTGAGGGGCGCAGACCTGCTTAGTCAACCTCCTCAACGGTTGGGCCAGCGCCACCGCCCGGAGCACCACCCATGCCACCACCAGGCATGCCACCTTCTGGCATGCCGCCGCCCCCTGCGGCCTGGTACACCTTCATCATGATGGGGTTCACGATGCCCTCAAGCTCCTTCTGCTTGGCCTCAAACTCATCCTTCTCTGCGAGCTGATTCTTGTCCAACCAGTCCAGTGTCTCCTGCACTGCGGATTCGATCTTCTCCTTGTCACCAGACTCAAACTTGTCCTTCAGCTTCTCCTCGTTGAGGGTGTTGCGCATGGTGAAGCAGTAGTTCTCCAAGCCGTTCTTCGCCTCGATCTTCTGCTTGTTCTGCTCGTCCTCAGCACGGAACTTCTCAGCCTCCTGCACCATGCGGTCAATTTCTGACTGCGACAGTCGACCTTTTTCGTTGGTGATGGTAATCTGGTTCGACTTTCCAGTGGACTTGTCAGAGGCACTGACATTCAAGATGCCATTGGCATCAATGTCATAGGTGACCTCGATCTGCGGCACACCACGAGGGGCTGGGGGAATGCCATCCAAGTGGAACTTGCCAAGCAAGTTGTTGTCCTTGGTCATGGCACGCTCTCCCTCAAAGACCTGGATCAAGACACCAGGCTGGTTGTCCGCATAGGTAGTGAACGTCTGTGCCTTCTTGGTTGGGATGGTGGTGTTGCGCTCGATCAACTTGGTCATCACGCCACCAGCAGTCTCCAGGCCCATGGACAGCGGAGTCACATCCAACAGCAACAAATCCTGGACTGCAGAGGAGCCCTCACCAGTGAGAATTGCAGCCTGCACAGCGGCACCATAAGCCACGGCCTCATCTGGGTTGATGGACTTGTTGGGCTCTTTGCCGTTGAAGAACTCCTGGATCATGGACTGCACCTTGGGAATACGGGTGGAACCACCCACCAGAACCACATCATGGACACTCTTCTTGTCGATGCCAGAGTCCTTCAAGCATTTCTCCACAGGTCCCATAGAGTTACGGAAGTAGTCCATGCACAGCTCCTCAAATCGTGCCCTGGACAAGCTGCAGGAGTAATCAATGCCCTCGAACAAGGAATCGATTTCAATGGTGGCCTGGCGATCATTCCAGGGCCGATCTTTAAAACACACAAAAAAGAATCTACCCTCCAGCAACCAGTAAATTCACATAGACCCTGCCAGTCATCGGGGTTGTATATCCCATTAGATCACCATTAGATCACCAAGAGAAAATCTCCATTGCCCTCCAATAAATTCACATAGACCCTGGCAGTCATCGGGGTTGGAAGATGAGTTTCCATAAAAAAAAAGAAATATTTTTAAGGGTCTATGTTAATTTACCAGAGGATAACAAATATCTGAAAATATTTGAAACCACCAATCAGTTGCCTGTGTGGAAGAAGACAAAGTGCGCTTGGCGCGCTCGCACTGAGTGCGCAAGCGTCGGATGGCACGCTGGTTGCCAGTCATGTCCTTGCCGCGATTCTTACGCTTGAAATCCTGCATGCAGAAATCCACAACTCGGTTGTCGAAGTCTTCACCGCCCAAGTGGGTGTCACCGGCAGTGGCCTTCACCTCAAAGATTCCATCTTCAATGGTCAACAAAGACACATCGAAAGTGCCTCCACCCATGTCGTAGATCAAGACGTTTCGCTCTCCTGTGCCTTTCTTGTCAAGGCCATAGGCGATGGCAGCAGCGGTAGGCTCGTTGATGATGCGCAGCACGTTCATGCCTGAAATGGTGCCCGCATCCTTGGTGGCCTGACGCTGCGAATCGTTGAAATAAGCGGGCACGGTGACAACCGCGTCATTCACCTTGGTACCCAAGTAGGCCTCAGCGGTCTCCTTCATCTTCAACAAAATCATGGAAGAGATCTCTTCAGGGTGGAACTTCTTCTCCTGCCATTTGATTCTGATCGTTCCGAGGTGACGTTTTCAAGACAAAAATCAGAGTTTCACGTAGTTTCACATGTCAAATACAAAAAATGGGTGCCTGATGGTGTCTGAACATTGGGTATACCCTGAAAAACACAATATTAATGGGGTGATTTACAAACCCCAAAAAAAAAAGTTCTCTTTGACGTACAAAAAAAATGACCTGCGGAAATGACCCGTGGAACAAAAATGATTATGGTTAATAGTGGTTAATAGTGGTTAATAGTGGCTTAATAATGGTTAATAGTGGTTATTAGTGGGTTAATAGTGGTTAATAGTGGTTTGATAATGGTTAATAGTGGTTAATAGTGGTTAATAGTTGCTTAATAATGGTTAATAGTGGTTAATAATGGGATGATAATCTGGTTGGTGGTTGACCTACCCTTCTGAAAAATATGAGTTCGTCAGCTGAGATGATTATTCCCAATGTATGGGAAAATAAAATTCATGTTCCAAACCACCAACCACTGATGCATGGGTCATTGTCTCGCCTCCCCTTGAGCGTTGACGATGATCATGGGTTTGTCACCCTGCCCAGCTACGCACTTGAAAGGCCACAGCTTGATGTCGGCCTGCACGATGGGGTCCGCAAACTTGCGGCCAATCAAACGCTTCGCATCAAAGACCTTCAGATGGTTCACAGACACGTCTCTGTGGCGAAACATGATTTTTGTTTTTCAAATTCGAAACCGTGAAAAAAACACAACTGTTTCCTGACATATCATTGCCCAACCTGTTGGTCGTGACATGTGCAGTCTATCATGATCCATCATGATCAAATGCAGTCGTCTTTTAATGTTTTTTTTACATTGCAGTTGGCAAGAAAAATGATCAAATGATCTACCTTGACCAACAAGCGGCGGTGTTCTCAGGATTGCGTGCCACCTGATTCTTGGCGGCATCGCCGATAAGTCGCTCTGTGTCTGTAAAAGCCACATAAGATGGAGTGGTTCGGTTGCCCTGGTCGTTGGCAATGATCTCCACTCCATCGTTCTTCCACACACCGACGCAACCAGGTTTCTGGAAAAACATGTAAAGCCGTCTGAAAACATGTAAAACAAATCCATGAAGAGACACATAAATTATCCCGGCAAGAGACCCCAAACAGTGTGGAGGTGTGGGAGGATGATGTATGACAATGTTGTTGATGATGGTGATGATGGTGATGATGATGATGATGGTGGTGATGATGATGACGATGACGATGACGGTGACGATGACGATGACGATGACGATGATGATGATGATGATGATGATGAAAATGTTGCGGGCGATGATGTTCATAATGATGATGTTGAGGACAATGAGGGGCAGGATGGTAATGTTAAGAATGATGAGGTGGAGGATGATATTGAGGATGGTAATGTTGAGGATGGGAACGTTGAGGAGGATGAGGATGAGGATGATAAAGATGAAGTGGAGGATGACAAAGTGGAGTGTGCTGATGTTGAGAAGGAGGAATATGATGATGTTAAGGATGATACTGTTGAGAAGGATGATGATAATGTTGCAGAAGAGGAGGTGGAGGATGATGATGGTGCGGAAGATGAGGTGAATAATGATGTTGTTGAGGATGATGATGTCAAGGGGAAGGAAGAGGATGATGTTGAGAAGGATGATGTTGAGGAGGAGGAATATGATAATGCTGGGAATGCTGATGTGGAGGAGGAGGACGAGGAGGAGGAGGAGGAGGACCGATCCCAAGACCGCGCCGCACATTTTGTGCGAGCCTGCGCAGTCGAAACGCACATGGACATCTCACAAGAGCCATTTTATGCAGAAATTTACAGGTAAACGGCCGCAGACCAAGAGCAAACAAAATTCGCGCCGCAAACTTTGCGCGAGCCCGCGCTTTCGAAATGCACATGGACATGACACAAGAGCCATCTTATGCGGACATTTACAGGAAAAATGCCGGGGCCCACAGTGAGCGCCTCGATCAAACACCGGCCTTACCATAAGAACCCCTCAGTGTGGACACACTGTTTGGGGAATAAAACTCCCTCAAAAATCGCTGCGGATTTGGTAAGATCGCCTGAAATCTTCGAGATTTTGTCAAGCCAAAGGACTGTAGGTGGTTCCAAGATCGATACCAATCGCGGTCTTCTTTGCCATGATGAATTGAGCTCCAAGAATTGGAAAAGAATGAGAGTACTAAGAGTCACTTTTCAGCTCGAGCAAATGCCAGGTCAATTCGATCTCCGTTCAATCCTCATTCATAAATCCATCGTGTTAGCAATGTCCATAGCTATGTTATGATCATTTCCCCATATGTCCCCCTATGTTTCCTTTCATTTAAGGCTTTGTTCAATCAAAGGCTACCTCCCAAATTGGTTTGTTTATCATCATTTCCCGATGAAACTTGCCATTGGAAGGTATCCCCCATTGACACACCCATCTAATGGTAGTCATAGATTATCTGGTTGGTGGTTTTAACTATCTTGAAAAATATGAGTTCGTCAATGGGAAGGTTTATCCCATATATTATGGAAAATAAAAAATGTTTGAAACCACCAACCAGTTATATGTCATAGATTACATAGCTAGTAAATTCCCTTTTTCAAAGCGTAGGACATTCCGATTCCATTTTTTCATGGCGAAAATAGCACCGCAGTTCTGTGTCGCACGGTGAGTTTCCATTGTCGCACCTCAGCACTGTGGACCTCCTTGTTGTAGTGGACTTCCCTGAAGAGCGGCACAGCCTGCGATGCGCCAACGATTAACCGATGATCACATCCTATGGGAAGGGGGTTAATAATGGTTAGCGGTTAATAGTGGGTTAATAGTGGTTAATAGTGGTTAATAGTGGTTTTTAATGGGATGATCATCTGGTTGATGGTTGACCTACCCCTCTGAAAAATGATGGAGTTCGTC